CTCTACGAGGCATGGGGTGCCGTGCAGCATGTTAGCAAGCTGGATGACGTGGCGGAGTGTGTGGATGGCGTTGTCTCCGAAGGTTGCTTTCTTCAACCTGGCAAAATTGCGAGCGTGGGGGCGGAGCTTTTCGACTATGCGTTCTACAGAGACAAAACGGCAAACCAGGGCTGTGGATGACCCAATAATCTTTGGTGATTCAAGGCATTCCCAAGCTTCTCCGTAAAGCTGGAGAGCACGCTCTTCGCGGTGAACCCCCCCTATCTCAACCTCGTAGTAGCCTGCTGCTGGAGCCACGCGATTCGAATTGGAGGGCCGCCTGTTGATGCTTCCTTTGTCGCCCTCTGACCGGACTCGCTGCCCTTCACTGGATGTTATCGTCGCAACACTCTGGGATGGCGCTACAAGTAACTGTGCGGTGGCCACATTGACTGAAGAACGTCTCGTAGAAGACCGGTCCCCACGTGCCGGGTGGCTACCATCTTCCTGAGGCCGTTTCATTGGATCGTCAATGCGTTGAGCATCATTCGTTTCAAGCAGAGGACTATCGTACGATCCGCTCAGGGGATGCTCTCTTTGAACGCAGCAATTTGGAATCGATCCAGAAGAAGATGACGGTGGCTTATCTCCGTGGTCTCGGCCAGGATACGAACTGGACGATTCTCCACTCGTGCGATGAGAAGCAAGGCTGTTCCTGGGGTTTGAAACAGGATTCAGGTCTTTCGGCCCGATTCGGTCAATCCACTGGCGTTCTGCAGCACGAATTGCCTCGTGGCGCTCAGCCTGCAACTTTCGTCGCTCAAGCTCGAGCATTTCGTGCTTTTCTGCGGCTCGTCTCCTTTCGTCCTCTTTCTGGGACTCCAGGGCAACTGCACGTCGTTCAGCATCAGTGACTCTTTTCAGATCAAGGTGCCGGAGTGTTTTAACGCGCTCCACAGCGAAGCGCCTATAAGCATGTGGGTCCTGTAGAGCAATAGGATTGCCATCCATGCTGAGCTCCATAAGGAAGCGAACATCGAAAAGGCAAGCAACAGCATCAAATGATTGGACTCGATTGTTACTCAGGAAGACGCGCTGGAGGGACTGTAATTGCTGCAGTGAGCAAGCCTTGACGATTTGATTGCGCCTCACATTAAGCTCCGTGAGGGATTGTAGGCTACCAAGCTCATCGAGCTCAGTGAGACGGTTACCCGCTAGGTTCAGGACTCGCAATTCTGATAGCGCACCAAGGTGCTCTACCTTTGCTATTGCATTCGAATGAAGGTCGAGGACATCGAGCTTACCCAGTTTCTCAAGATGAGAGATAGCTTTGATGCGATTCTTCCCCAACATCAACACCCGCAGCGTAGGAACGCACTCAAGGTCACGCGACAAGCTTTCAATACAATTGTTGTACAAGTCCAAGAAAATCAGGTTGGGTAAATGAGACAGATGGCGAATCTCTTCGATGTAATTGTTTTGGTAGTTGAGCAAACGCACGCGTTCTTCGGATTTGAGGATGGGACATACAGTGAGGTGACGGCGATCTAGATTCAGTCGCTCTGGGTTGGCTGCGCGCTCCTCTGGTGATCGATATACAACCAGTGTCTCGGGATGGCCTTTGTATTGTGCAAAAAAGACCCCGTCTGAGGGTGGCTTCTCACCAGTTACTTGGGCTATGCTCGGATGATTGCTGCCTTGGGACTCTCGACGTTTCTCACGGTCCCGATCCTTGTTGGCGTCACGACGATCGAGGCCGTCTCTCCCACTGCCAAGGTTTGTTGGTGGCTTACATCGCCCATGCGACCCATCAGACTGTAGCTCGCGATTTGCATCGTTTATCTTTCGGGCTGGCAACACTTCAGCATTGCCTTGCAAAGGCTCGTATATACTCGTGCGCTGCTTCTTTTCACAATCAGGGTTCCAAATTTCATTCCCATCACCTTGGTCTCGTGCGGGGACAGCAGGCATTGCTCATTAGCACTCTCTGATGCTTCCACTCTCGACTCTACCTCATCAGTACTCAGCTCACGGTGCAGATAGCCTCGTCGTCGTACAGACCGCTGTGATATGGCGCCACTGTCCAGGTCTATGTGTGTACTGTCGACGAAGACCTCAGGCATGCGCTTAGCAGATGGCACTAAATTATTGCTCTGCAACTGACAGATCTCCTCTGAGGTCTTGGTAAAATCTGCGTGAGTTGGTTGTGTTCC